ATTTGAACCTTGAGCCTCTGACTTGGTGGTACACCTCCTTACCCTCAAGGGCACCAGAGCTAGGGTTCTGAATTAAGGGCACTGGCCAGAGGGGTGGCTCTTGGCTCTGGGATGGGTCGTCCTTTCAGCTTCTGTTCCTCAGAGACCTTCACGTCGTAGCAGTCTTGCCCATTTATGCTTCCTTGACTGCACCTAAGCTACTCCTTTTATATTTCAAGAGTGATCGCCTTAAGGTACAGCCTGTACTGTTATGTCCTCTTCACAGAAACACACCAACCAGAAAAACCAAACCCACTGTCGTCTCATTGATGCTGACTCACGACCCTCCATCAGGTTTCCAAGGCAGTAAATCTTTACTGGAGGTGACTGCACATTTTTCTGCCTCCGAACAGCTGGTGGATTTGAACCACCGACTTTTGGGTTAGCTGTATAAGACATAACACACTACGCCACCAGAGCTCCTTTAACACAACGAAGAAAATCTTATTCTTAAATGGGATCACCTATGGGTTAGGAGGATTCTGACACTTTTTAGGGGACCCAGTTCAATCCATCACAGTGGGTTAAAGCCACTTGTGCTTCTGACAGCTATGGTGCCCTCTGAACCCCTGGCTCACGCCCTTTCTGCCCTATTCTTTCCCCACCCAGGCCTTCCAAGGGGACTCCATCCCAGTCTTTGACCTCCTCATCCTGGGGATTGGCCCTGATGGCCACACGTGCTCGCTCTTCCCGGACCACCCGCTCCTTCAGGTGAATGTACCAGCGAGGCCCCCTCCAGCCCCTGAAGCTCCCCAGAGGGAGGGCTCCCTGCAGTACTTAGAGCTGGGTTTGAGTCTGCCTCTGCCAGCCAGCCTCACTGGGCAAGCCAGGACAAGAAGCTGCACCCTCCTGAGCCTCTGAGGTTCACCTGTCTTAAAATGAGACCTTGAATCATCTGCTGGGAATGGAGGGATGGGAGGATGATGTGCAGGGTGTCTCTTGTGGAGAAAGTGCTCGAGAAGTTGAAGCAGTGTTGTACTTTTCCCTCCCACAGGAGAAGGAGAAGATCGTGGCCCCCATCAGTGACTCCCCAAAGCCTCCACCTCAGCGTGTGACCCTTACACTACCTGTGCTGAACGCAGCCCGAACCATCATCTTTGTGGCAACAGGAGAAGGCAAGGCAGCTGTTTTGAAGGTAATGGTGGAGAGCCAGTTTCTAAAGGACACAGGCATGTGGGTCCTCAAGGTAGAATGTGACCTGCACTATCATTTCACCAGAGGCATCAGAGCTCAGGATAGTTCAGTAATTCTAAGGTCAAAGGGGAGCTCTCAGCTGCAGTTCTAGGCTCTTTAGGAATTAGTGCTTGTGAAATGAACTTGATCAGATGAGGCTACAGCTGCACTCAGAGGCAAATTCAATGCTTGTGAATTTCTACCAACACACAGCCAAGGCCATCTGTTTACATACTAACTATGGCTATTTGAGGCTACAACAGCACCCCTGAGTGGCTAATACAAAGACCATCTGGTCTGCAGAGCCGACAGTATCAACTCTTGGTCCTTTGAAGAAAAGTTTACTGGCCCCTGAGTTCAGTGAAGGGAGCAGTGCAGTTTGTGCTCAGCTCCTAGCTATAATTTTAACAGTTCAGTTCCACTCAGGGACACTGCAGAAGAAAGGACTGGCATTCTCCGTGGAGATTGAAGCCCAGAAAGCAGTTCTCCTTGTTAACGCAGGGAGTCACCATGGGTCAGAATCAACATAAAGACCACAGGTTTGGGTTTTTTAATTTGGAATTAAACTGTTAGAAGCAAGAAAGGAAGGGATAATGTCCCTTCTCATGATTTGACAGCCTTGAGTGGTGCAAATGGTTATGTACTATACCATTCACTAGAAGGTTAGAAGTTTGAACCCACCACTCTGGTGCCTTGAAAGACAGGCCTATCAGTCTGCTTCCAAGAGCAAAGCTTCAAAAACCCTGGAGAGTGGTTCTTCTCTGCCCACACAGGGTCCCCATGGGTCAGGATTGACTCGGTGACATCAGCCGGGAAGGGCCATGTCCATTCTCAAGGGGTCATGAATCATGTCCATCGGGGTTGCTACCCAAGGGCCCCCCTCCCACTCCTGACTCTTCCCCTGTCACTGCAGCGTATCCTGGAAGGACACGAGGAGAACCCCCTCCCCGCCGCTCTGGTGCAGCCACACACTGGGAAGCTGTGCTGGTTCCTGGATGAGGCGGCCGCCCGCCTGCTGACTGTGCCCTTCGAGAAGCACTCCACGTTGTAGCCACAGGGCGCGCACCAAGGCTGGGACCTTCTGGGGCTGGGCCCCACTCGCTGCCACTCTGACTGTGTGCTCAAGGCCACACAGGCTTCCAGAAGCCTCAGGCCCACCTGTGGCTCAGTCCCCAGGCCTTCGCTCTGGGCAGCCTGGGTATTAAAAGATACCTTGGTTGGTGTGTCTGTCTCATAGTCCTTGGTGGGTAGTAGGCTTGGGGGCTCTGGGTTGAGACTCTGACCCTCAACTAGTGTCCCTCATTCCAGCTGGACAGAAGTCGTGGGCAAGTTTCCTGGGGTGTCTGGGACAGAGTCCCATAAACTGGGGGATTTGAAAGAGCATCGATGGGTTCTCTCATGGTCTAGAGGCCAGAAGACAGAAATGAAGGTGGGGGTGTAAGGATAGGACCCTTGTCCCTGCTTCTGGTGGCTCTGGTAATGCCTGGGCTTGTGGCCAAAGCCTTCTAATCTCCCCCTCCTTTGTCAGCAGGCCCCTTACCTCTCTGTATTCTTTCTTTTCTAATGCTAGATTTCTAATTGGATTCCTCATTCTTAATTGGGATTAGGGCCCACTCTGGACTCAAGATAATCTCCTTTTGAGAGCCTTAACTTAATCCTACCTGCACAGACCCCATGGCCAAGCAAGGTCATGTTCATGTGCCCTGAGGATTAGTATGTGGACACAGCTTTTCGAAGGACACGGCTCTGTACTTCCTCAGCCAGGCTCCTGTCTCATGCTGGGTCAGTTGTGACTGTTGCAGGCCTTTTCAGAGCCTTACATGTGCACAGGGGGATGCCAGGGACCTCAAGTTCAGGCCCACCAGACTCAGTGGTCCCTTCAGTACTGAGGGTGAGACCCAGAGGTTGCTCTGCACACAACAGGCAGCTGTGCTGAACCCGAGGGAGGAACTGAAACCCCCAAGGGGTGTGGCTGTCCTGGGGGAGTGAAGTTGAAACAACAGAAAGCCAGGTTTCCCCAAGTCTCATCGAGCCCAGAAGTGAGAGTGAGGAGGTGGGACCCCAGACACTTTGAGAAATGATGGGGGGTGAAGGACAACTTCATGGGGTTGGCAAACAGGTGGCTGTGACATCCCCAACCCAGGGCAGAAGCAGAACATGGGCTGAGAAGAGGGAAGTGAGGACATGGGGCCCTGGGACCCCAGGGAAGGGTACCCACACACAGGAGTACACTAGGGGTGTTAACTTTTCTATATCCTCCCCAGCTCTCAGAGTGAGACCCCTTTTCTTCCCATCCCAGCTCAGGGGATCCTGTGTAGCCCATGTCACCTCCCCATCCATGGGCCCCTCACTCACCCTGGTTTGGCCCACCCACTTCATTGGTTTCTGGAACTGACCACCTTCATTCCCACCTCAGGGCCTTTGCACCTGCCATACCTACTACCTGGTTTTCTGCCACAGCGCAAGTCTTGGCATGAGCCCTCATTCCTGCAGGTCTTGGTGCAATACTGCATTGGCCTCCACTGAGGATTTCTCTGACCTGACACCAGGCTGGTACTTGCAGAGGGAGCTGCGGGCATTGAGGGGCTGCAGAGGACAGGCTGTGGAGAGAGCGAGCTGGCCTTTTCCCAGAGCTCAGAGGAACTGTGAAGTGCATAAATCAGAGCTGTGGTCAGAACTTGAGGCTAGAAAGGAGTATACAATGAAGATGAGGGCCTGGGGGGTGTGGAGAAGGGAGTCTGAAGTGAGATGGAGAGGAGGTGCTTGGGGTGAGAGCTAGGAGAGTACGGAACAAACCCTCTGGATCCCCAGCCCCACCTCTAATTTGGGACCCCAATTCTCCAGCTCCATGACTGACTCCAGAGGCTGGGGGGTACTCTGCCTTCAGGCTTCTGGGTCCCTGGTTCCCCAGCATTGTCCAGCAAGAGATGATCACAGTGGGAGAGGAACACCAAGAACTAGACCCCCAAAATGAGTTGTGATGGTGCAACAATTAAGTGCTCAGCTGCTAATCAAACGGTTGCAGCTTAAACTCCTCCAGTAGCACCAAGGAATAAAGGCCTGACAATTTGCTTCCATCAGATTGTATTGTTGTGTACCATAGAGTTAGGCCTGACCCATAGCTGACCCTCCAGCGGGTTTTTAGAGGCAGTTAATCACACTCGAGGTTTCCTGTCCTGTGGAGCAGCTGGTGGCCTCAAACTGCGTGCCTTCGAGATTAGAGCACAGTTTGTTGACACCAGAGTTCCCCCATTCGATTACACCAAGAAAGCGGTATGGAAAACTGTCTGGAGCAATTCTGCTTGTCGCACGTGGGGGTGCCCAGGAGTCAGAATTAATTCCATCACAACAGATTTGATGGTTATTATTTTTTAAAATCTCTGTCCCCACAAACTTATGACGGCTCAGGGATGCCATGTCTGCCCTGCTTCCATCAGGCAATCCTTCCGGCTATGCCAGTTGGCCAGCTCCTCTCTCCAGCCCCAGTGAGTCTGCCCCAAGGCCCTGGGCCCCAGTAGGAGGCAGAGACCAGAAACCACTAACCCAGGGGAGCCTAGGCCCCCAGGGGGCAGGGAGGGCACAGGTGCAGTGGGAGGGGCAAGAGGAAAGGGTTGCGGGGGTGTCCTCATGCCAGGCCTGTGTGGTCTCTGGACCAGGCTGGGCTCTGCAGCACCCGGCCATCTCTGGGATCCTGTTCTTAGCTCACCCTGAGCTCGGGGACCTGGGACTGAGGGAGTGGGAGGGTGTCGGTCTTTATTCACAGGGGAGCCCAGAGACCTCAGGCCAGGATGGGTGGACGATCCTCAAGCCCTTTGGACAAGCAGCAGCAGCAGTATCTGAGGGGTGAGCCGGGCAGGGCTGGGGCGGCAGTGGGATATGCAGGGTCAGGCTGAGGACCCTCAGACACAGGACACAAGTTACTGTGCGTTGTTGAATTTGGCCACCCCACGCCTGCAGAGTAGTACTCTCAAGAGGGTTTCAAGGCCATGGCCTTTCAGAAGCAGATCACCAGGTCTTTGTTCCCAGGTGTCTCTGAGGGGGTTCAAACTGCCAACCTTTCAGCTAGTAGTCAAGTGTTTAACCATCTATCTGCACCCTGTTCGTGTAAACTTCAGATAAGCAATGAATACTGTTTAAGTGTAATTATAGCCCAAGGATTGAATGGAATGTACTTTTTTTGCTAATGTAAGTGTTTGTTATTTATCTAAAATGAAATTTGAACTGATTCCTGTCTTTTTTTTTTGGTTTTAAATTTTTTTTTTTGTGCGTGTGTACTCTCAAATTGGATCTGACTGGTACAAGAGTGATTCCTGTCTTTTGCATTTTAGTTCTAGTAACTCTGTTCAGGAGTTTGGGGTGCAATTGGGTGTGAACCTGGGCAAAGGTGTCCTGGGCCCAGTCAGGCCCGAAGTGGTCCTGTGAAGGGCCAGGGAGAGCAGGCCCCTGTAAATGGACCCCAGGGACTGAGGCTCATTTTTTATTTCCTATCAGAAAAACTGAGAAGGATTCCATGTTTGATGAGTCCCTGATCACGTGCTGGGGACCCTCCCACTTGTGGGGGCTCCACAGTCTGAGAGACGTGTGAGGTGGATCAGAAGTGTGTAATGAGTTGGCAGGTAGGAGAGGCAGGAATAGCACTCCATTGAGGGGGGAATAGCACGTGCAAAGACCAGACTCCCAAGAGTGTACCCCGTCCCTTCCCTGTGTGACTCTGAGTGAGTGCACCTCTCCAGGCCTCATTCTTAGTCTACCAGGTAACACAGCAACGAAGCCTCTCTCACAAGCCTTGTTCAATGAGTTATGCTGTACAGTGTCAAGATACTGTTTCACCTTTCATAGCTTAAATAAGCTGATTTGCTTCTCTTCTCCTGTAATGGGATGACGCTGAACACCTTCCATCTGGAGACTGCCTCTGTACTCAGGCCACTTTGTGATGGCTACTGCTGCTCCCGCCACCGAGTCCACATTGCAGGCAACAGAAAGGAAACATTTTCTAGCCAGTCAGGTGCACATCTGAGGGAGAAAACGTAAATAACTTTAACATCTTGGGAGTGCTTTTTAGATCAAAATACAGACCATTTCTTCACTCTAGAAATTTCCTGGTGTTGGGCTGTTGTTGTGTACCGTCAAGTAAGGGGAAGTAAATTATACAGACGGAGATTAACCCTCTTGCTCCTTGGAGCAGCTTGTGGATTCAAACCACAGACCTTGGCATTGACAGTGCAACTTCTTATGGATAAACCACCAGAGCACCCCTCTACTTTGTGCTGGCATGGGGCATGTAAAAGCTTCTGAAATTTGGAAACAGATAAGGGTGATGGTTGAATACCACGCTGAATGTAATCACAAAACTGTAAACGTACATGGTTGAAATGGTACATTGTTGTGCACATTTTTAGCACAGTTTTAAAAAATATTCTGAAAAATTCCCCTACAGACCACAAGGACACTTTTGTGGGCAACAGATGTATTCATAGGCACTCTGGTGAAGCAGGGCTTAAAATGATCAGCGGCTAACCCAAAGGTTGGTGGTTTAAACCCAAAAACTGCTCTGAGGGGAAAAGATAGGGTCATCTTTATACATGATATATTGTTTATCATGGTTTGAATCCACCAGATGCTCTGCTGGAAAGAAAGGCCAATATTCCCCTGTACCAGTCAGATCTGATTTGATGGCACACGCACACAAAATAATAAAATTTAAAAAATATATATTCTTTATGTAAAGAAATAAATCTGATTTATTGAAACCCTAAAAGGCAGCTCTACTCGGTCCTATTGGATCCTGTGAGTCAGAGGTGACTCAATGGTAGTGGATTTGGGTTAAATTTGTGATCTCAATTAGGGTGCTGGCTTCACAGATCTGTAATTGCATATATAATTATGTATATGTACACATACACACACATACATTGCACTGTAATCCTGAAGGCAAGTGGTTCAAGGCCACCAGCTGCTCCACAGGAGACAGATGGGCAATCTCCTCCTATGTGATTAACTGCCTCTTAAAAACCCACTGGAGAGTCAGCTATGGGTCAGGTCTTCGATGGAGTATTTTGAGTGCATTACTTTTAGTTCCTGAGTGGTGCAAACAATTTTAATCTACCTAAAGGTACCATGAAGGTTGTTATTATGTGCTATTGAGTCACCTGAAACCCACAGTGACCCTATGTACAGCAGCTCTGAAGCCTGTCCTGTCCTAAGCCAGTCTCACTAATTCTGACATGCCAACCCCCATTACCTCAGTTACTGTATCAATCCGTCTCATCCAGGGTCTTCTTCTCCTGCGCTGTCCCGCCTCCCTTCCAAGCATGATGTCCTTCTCCAAGGACTGGTCTCTCCTGGCCACATGCCAAAGTATGTGAGATGGAGCTTTAAAATCCTAGCCTCCAAGGAGAAACTTGGCTTCACCCTCTCCAAGACAGATCTATTTGTTTTCTTGGCAGTCCATGGTATGTTCAAGACTTGTCTGCAGCACCACAATTTGAAGGCACTGATTCTTCTGTCACCCTTAGTCATTGTCCAGCTCTCCAATACATAGCAAGTAATTATGAAGACCATGGCCTGGATTAGGCACACCTTAGTCTCTAGACTGACATGGTTGCTTTTCAGCACTTGGGAAAGGTCGCTAACAGTAGATTTTCCCAATGCAGTTTGTCTTTTGATTTCCTGACTGCTGGTGTTTACAATATTGATTGTGGAGCCAATCAAGCTGTAATTGTTAACAACCTCAGTCTCTTCTCCATCTATCATGGTGCTGCCAGTTGGCTCAGTGGTGAGAATCTTTGTCTTTTTGATGTTGAGCTTCAATCCATATTGAAGACTACAGTTCTTGACCTTCTGCAGCAAGCACTTCAGAACTTCTTCAGATTCAGCAAGCAAGGTTGTGTCATCTGCATAACATAGGTTGTTAATGAATCTTCCTCCAATCCTGATGCCACATCCTCCTCATGAAGCCCTGCTTCCTGAATGATCTGTTCTGCTTAAGGATGCAGAATATGGGCAGGACATTGAATGATTCAGGAAGCACTAAAGGAAGACAAACAAAAGGAGTATACAGACTCATTGTACTGAAAAGAAATGGCTGACACAGAAGAATTTCAATAAATAACATATGATCAAGAGGCAACGGTGTTGAAGGAGGAAGTTCAGGCTGCTCTGAATGACTTGGCAAAAAAATAAAGCCCCAGGAATTGATAGAATGCCAATTGATGTATTTCAACAAACAGATGCTGCCCTGGATGTGCTCTCCAAGTTGTGTGTCAAGAAGTCTGGAGGACAACTGCTTGGCTAACTGATGGGAAGAGATCCATATTTATTTCCATTAAAAAAAATATGACCCAACAGTATGTGGAAATTATTTAACAATATCACTAAATATTACACACTAAACCCTGGGCTCTATGAGGAGAAGCATGGCGTTAGGATTGGTGGACGATCTATCAACAATCTGCGTTATGCAGATGACACAACCCTGCTCGCTGAAACTGAGTAGGACCTCATGCACTTACTGCAGAGGGTCAAGGACTGCAGCCTTCAATATGGACTGAGGCTCAATGTCAAGAAGACAAAAATTCTCACCACTGGACCAATCGGTAGCATCAGGATGGATGGTGAAGAGATTGAGATTGTTCACAGCTTCAGTTTGCTCGGCTCCACGGTCAACACTCTTGGCACCAGTAGCCAGGAAATCAAAAAACGTATTGCGATGGGAAAGTCTGCGGCTAGGGACCTCTCTAAAGTACTCAAGAGCAATGGTGTCTCTCTGGAGACTAAGGTGTGCCTGATACAGGCCATGGTTTTTGCAATCACTTGTTATGCATCAGAGTTGGACAATGACTAGGGAGGATAGAAGGAGAATTGACTCCTTTGAGCTGTGGGTGCTGGAGAAGAGTATTGAATGTACCATGGACTGCCAAGAAAACAAACAGATTCATCCTAGAGAGGGTTAAACCAGGCTACTCCTTGGAGGCAAGGATTCTGGGGCTTCGTCTGACATACTTTGAACATGTAAGGAGAGACAGGTCTTTAGAGAGGGACATCATGCTAGGTAAAGTAGAGGGACAGCGCAGGAGGGGAAGACCCTCTATGAGGTGGATTGATTCAGTGACTGGGGTAATCGGGATGGGTGTGTCAGAGGCAATGAGATTGGCACAGGATAGAGCACGGTTTAGGGCTGTTGTACATAGGGTCTCTATGAGTCACAAACGACTTGACGGCACATAACAACAACAACAACAACAGTAAAATCCTGCTGAAGATTATCCAGAAACGACTGCATTTTGACAGAGACCAGAAATACAGGCTGGGTTTAGAAGAGGTCGTGGCACTAGAGACATTATTGCCAGTGTCAGATGGATCTTGGCAGAAAGCAAAGAGTACCAGAGGAATGTCTGTGTTTCATTGACTATGCAAAGACATTTGACTTTGTGGATCAGAACAAATTGTGGCTAGCCTTGAAGAAAATGGGAATCCTAGAACATTTGACTGTGTTTATATGAAACCTATACTTGGACCAGGAAGCAGTCCTCAGAACAGAGCAGGGAAACACTGCATGGTTCAAAATCAGGAAAGGAGTGCGTCAGGGTTGCAACCTGTCTCCAATATCATGAAAGTAAGGCCTGGCAATCTGTTCCTGGAAAAAAACCCCAGTACTTATTTGCAGAGCACGTGTGTTAAAATGAGTTGGAATCTGTTTGAGGGTCACCAGTTTGCTTTGTTTTTGTTACTGCGTATTAGCTATCAATTAGGCCCTCCCCTTGCCGCCCACGTGGGGGGTAACAGGACAACGGAGGGCCCTGGGTGAATGATATCCAGGGCAAGTCTTGTGGGGCAATTTTGGGATGCAAGGAGGAGACCACAGTGGGTTCCCTGTCATTCTGTCTTCAGACAGGCCTGCAGACCCCTCTAATCACCTCACTATCTTGTCCTTGCAGGTCAGGTGGACGCTCTGCTGAGGAACTTCTTGCCATGTTACCGCAAACAACTGGCGGCCTCGGTCCTGCAGCAGATCTCCCGAGAGCTGGGCCCCCAGGAGCCCGCAGGGCGCCAGCTGATACGCAGTAAGGTGGGTGGGCATGGCCTGGGGGCGTGGCTGGGAATGGGCGTGTCTGTCGCGCGGGGGCGTGGTATGTGCCAGTGGGCGTGGCTGGCGGGGAACCCTTGGAAGGAAAGCGCTCACTCCAGGTGCCACTCTAGCAAAATTAGAATTTTTAGGCCTTTGCGCTCCCTGGTGTCAGCATCCAGGACACTTAAGAACTATTTATTCGCTCATTCTTCCCCTCTACTCCCACAAGTAAAACTTCAGTCAAAAGTCATTGCAATCGACTTGGAACCAATCCACAGCTGACCCTCCAGCGGGTTTTCTGAGGCTGTAAATTCCGTGGGAGGAGATGGCCTGTGTTTCTTCCGCGGAGCTGCTGATGGATTAAAAACGCCCGCCTTTAGATTGGCAGCGCGACTCACGAGACCACAGAGCTCCCCGGAGTATAACTTAGTGACACCAATTACATGAATCCTGATGTGCATCCATCACCAACAGTCGCTGCCAAACCATCCTAGTGTTTCCCAAACCCTGGCACGGAAGGCGGAGCGCAGCCAGGCCCTCGGACCTCTCCAGGGAGGCGCCTCCACCACACGCTGCTGTCTCCAGTCCGAGGGGCGCTGACAGCCCTGAGGGCAGCCCGGGCTCCCTCTTCTCACCTCCATGACAGTTGCATTTTTATTGACTCGGCCCAGTAGGAAAGCTCCAGTGTGCGCCCCACCTCGCGGGGCAGGACCAGGCGTAGGGGACTTTTGAGAGCCTTCAAACCAGGGCGTACTGGACACTGTGCGCCTCGCCCTCTTTTTGGTGGCTCCAGGGCTGGTGGGTGCTGTGATCGGGGTACCTCGGCTGCTCCCCAACTCCTGCCCGTCCCTCCCGCAGAAGCTGCCCCGCGTCCGCGAGCACCGAGGCCCCCTGACCCAGCTGCGGGGCCGTCCACCGCGGTGGCAGCGGAGTTTCTGCGTCCTGCGTGGCGACGGCCGCCTGGAGTGGTTCAGCCGCCAGGAGGTGAGCGCGCCGCGGCCGCCCTCTGCCGGCGACCCGCTCCTCTTCATCTCGCTCTGGCTGGGCCTGGTATAGAGCCCCCGAAGCCCTCAAGTCCCTGTTCTCAGTCCCTTAATATAAATTCAGCCTCACACCGCCACTCCTGGCCCTCACACCCCACCCCACCCCCCCACCCCCGGTGCTTGATCCGGGCGTGTTCCACCTGAATGTATTGTAAATGGAGACACAAATGGAGAAGTAGGGGAGGAACTCACAGTCGTTGGTAAAACCAGGCTCACTTCAACAAGTGCCTGCTTCCCATCCAAGGAGCTCCTGTGGATCCCTTGCCTTCCTGGGACTCAGTTTCCCCCTCTGTGGAAATGGTGCTGACGCCCCGTGCCTCATGAGACCATGGATTCAGTTGAACAGGGATGGGGTCCTGGAGGGATGGCCTTGAGAGGAGTGAGAACTTCCCCAGTTCACCCAAACCTTCCCTCAGGTTAAAAGTTGGGGTGTTAGGGAGCTCTGGTGACCTAGCGGCAAGAAGCTGCACTGCAATCCCAGGGGTGCATGGTTCAAATCCACCAGATTCTCTGCTGGAGAAAGAGGGACAATCTCCTCCTGTACCAGTCAGATCCAATTTGACAAAATAAAAAAAAAAATTGGGGTGTAGAAGCCATAAATTAGGTTTATCCTAATCTCGTTCTTTGGATGCCTTTTGTAGGAATTTGAAAGTGGGGGCAAGCCCCTCGGCTCCACGACGCTGACGGGGTACACCATCCTGACCTCACAGCAAGAGTATCTCCATCTGTTGGATGCTCACTGCCCAGACTCTATGGGGCACTCAGGTTAGGCTCCTGGGACCCCAGTGGAGACACTGCTGCAGCTGGGGGTGGGCTGATCTCTGGGGTGAAGTTATCTCTTTCACCATAGGGTGCTGAGCAGTATCCCTGGCCTCCAATCATAACCCCCTAAGTTGTGACAACCAAACAGGTCCCCAGATGTCCCAATAGTCACCAAGGAGAAAATCGCCCCTTGGATGAGGATATTGCGGAAACAAAGGAAAAAACCTCTTGAAGTGAAAGTGCTGAGCAGATTTCAAAGGGCAGCATGGGAGGACAAAGCAAAGCATTATAATGCAATGTGCAGAGAACTGGGATTGGAGAATAAAGAGGGAAGAACTCGCTCTGCATTTCTCAAGCTGAGAGAACTGAAGAACAAATTTAAGCCTGTTGTTAGGTGCCATCAAGTCGACTACGACTCATAGTGATCCTATGAACAATGGCTCTGAACCCTGTCCTATCCTGTGCCATCCTCACTGTCTCTGACATACTTGAGTCTGTTGTTATAGTCACTGTGCCAACACATCTCGTTGAAGATCTTCCTCCCTTTCGCTGCTATAGGAGCGTCTCACTCATAATGACCCTCCACTGGGTTTCTGAAGCTGTGAATTTTATAGGAGGAGTTGCCCATCTTTCTCCCATGAAGCAGCTGGTGGATTTGAACCTCTGACTCTTAGTTAGCAGTTTAAGTCAAGCACTGCACGACCAGAAGGCAAGTTTACACTGCTTGTGCCACTCAGGAACCATAGAATTAACGTACAAAAGCATAGAAACAATAACAATGTAAAGTCTGAGAGTCCCCAAGGCCACCCTTACTTCTGACATCCGCTGCAGGTTTAGTGTTGCCTGAGATCCCCTTAAAGTTGCATGATGCACTGAAAGGACTCACCACTCAGAGCAGAAGTTCTAATCAAGATTACAGGTTATTCCAAGGGAAGGACACAGAATAGAATCAGCAAAGGGAAGAGGCACACGGGGAGAGACCAGCATCCAGCGTGGGAGGTGTTGATATGAGAGAAACAGGGAGCGGTAAAGGAGAGCTCACTGGTGGGGATACCCTGCAGGGATCTCAAATGGAGGTTTCCTTGGATACAAAGTTCACATTGTTGGTTTTTTGGTTTTTTTTTTTTTATTTTTTTCACATTGTTGTTGATGTTAGGTGCCATTGAGTAGAGTAGGACTGGACTCGTAGCAAACCTATAAACAAAAGATCTGAATCCTGCTTTATCTTGCACCATCCTCGTGCTTCCTAACATATTAGAGCCCATTGCAGCAGTTACCGTGTCAATCCACCTGGTTGAGGGTCTTCCTCTCCTTTGCCGACCCTCCTCCCCAGGCCTAGTTCCTCCTAGCAACGTGCCCGAAGTATGTGAGGTGAAACCTGATCATTCTTGTCTCCAAAGAGCACTCTAGTTGCACCCTTTCCAAGATATATGTTCATTCTCTTGGCCGTCCATGGGATGGATGTTCATTCAGTGCCCTTCTCCACACCACAGCTCAAAGGCATCAGTTCTTTTTCTGCCATCCTTATTTATTGTCTAGTTCTCAGATGCATAGTAAGTAACCAGAAAGACCAAGAATCAGGTCACAGAATCAAATTCATATTAGCATCCAACAACCCAAATAAAGGATGTTTTGTTATCCACAGGTCCTGAGAGGAAGCAGGCTAGAAGGCCATGTTCAAAATTCATATGGGCACCAAGGAAGGGGCCAATCAGAAAGGCTCCACCTTAATTAAGCCTGAGGTTGGGCCATACTTTATTTAGTAGGTTTAGGACCTATTGGCTACTTTAGAGCATTCAGGAGGAAAATAGGGGTCTGGAGTGTGAAGTGAGCAGGAAGGTGGATTCCCAGATGTGATATGTGGATCAAAAATGGAAGAGCCAGGCAGACAGGCACTGTATTTGGATTGTTAGTTAGAATTTTGCAGGAGGAGTACACATTGACTAGAAGACAAGCAGGCCTGCTGTTTTGAAATAAGTGAGGTTTGAGCAGAGACTTGAAGAAAAGCAGAAGCATGAAGAACAGGGGTTTGGGTTTCTTGTGACTTGAGATTATGGAGAGCACTGATTTCTCTGAGCATCTGCATGTGACAAGGTGCCTGTTAGGGAAGCACCCTTCAGCCTTGATAGCCAACCAGCGTTTTCCCTAGGAGTCCGTCCTACAGGCACTGCTGGTCACATTTTAGGTGCTTTCCCATCCAAGAGGGCTTGTGTTCTGGTGCTGTATAGCACAGTAGTCTGTCTTGGTCTCGTTGGCTCATTTTCAGAAGTCCTTCACCAGGCTTTTCTTCCTAGTCTGTTTTTGTCTGGAAGTTCTGCTGAAATCTATCCACCGTGGGTGATCTTACTGGTGCTTAAAATATAAATGGCATCATAGCAAGATGCAAAACCAGTGCAGTATGACAAACTGACAGAGCGTGAATTGCCGAGGAAAATAAAAGAAGCCACTGCTGTGGAATTAATTCCAACTCATAACAACCCTACAAGGCAGTGTAGAAGTATCCCAAAGGATTACCAAGTATATAAATCTTTCTGACAGCAGACTACCATATCTTCTTCCCTTGAGTGACTGGTGCATTTGAACTATCAATGTTTTGGTTAGCTTAATAGCACAAGACTCTTTGATAAAGGATTTAGGGGTACCAGAGGATGGGCAGTCTCCTGACATATGATTAATTGTCTATGAAAAACCTGATGGAGGGTCAGCTATGGGTCAGTTCTGATTTGATGGTACATAACAATAAAATGAGTAAACCAAAAAGAAATTTATTCATGCTGTCCTTTCAGCATCTATAGATTGTCCATATCATTACTAACTCCATCATTTTACAGGCAGAAAATGGAGGTCAAAGCGATGATAAACTGTGCCCCAGACATAGAGCTTCAATGGCTCATCAATTTGTTATCCTGCGGTGCGTTACTGCAAAGCTGAAAGCTGTGCTACCAGTATTACAAATAGCAACAGGGTCACTCATAGTGGACAGGATTCAGCAGAGTTTATAGACCTGGCAATATATTTTTAAAATCATGAAAATCATAATCACTCAACTCCCTTGCTTTGGATATATCATCACGAGGGATCCGTTTTCAGGAGGACATCACATTTGGTTAGAACAGACAGTCAATGAGGTTGAGGGTGATGTCCTCCTCCCACTCCCCCCCCCCCCCCCATGAGATTGCCTAGTGCAATATCAGCTCAAATATACTGTGCTCTGCGGCTGACTCTGCCCTGGCCAACATTCCTTTCTCTTGTACGTAAGGTTATCTATCATGAGTCAGAGTTGACTCAATGACAATCATTCATCTCCTTTACCCAGAGAGTTACTAGGTGATGCGCCAGCTCAAACCAGGCCTGGCTGACTCCTTCCAGGTAGCCATCAGGTGAGGACAACAATCAGGGCACATGGATCGTTGAATTGACTGGTGATGTCTGTCTAGCGCACTGTGTAGATGAGGCTTCAGGAATCCATTAGTGATGTCTGCTCTGCATACTAAGGAGAAGGCTAAGCCACTGTCCTCCAGGACTGTGACCAAGCCTAGTACTGCTAGAACCGTAACAGTGGCAGCAATAATCAACAGGTCTCATGCCACAGCAGGGGTAAGGGTCCACTACAGGGGCAGCTTTATGCATTTCATGGACATTTTATCCTAGTAAATGAATGATAAATTTCAGAATCAAAGAAAATGAATGAACATGACTATTTTCCATTTCCTTCCAGGAGACCATGCACCAGAAGAGCCCGACCCCCTCCTGGACATGCCTGAGAGTTTCCCCCTCTTCCTGCAGCACCCTTTTCGCCAGCATCTCTGTTTCTCAGCAGCCACGAGGGAGGCACAGCGTGCCTGGAAACTGGCCCTCCAGGGAGGCATCCGGCTTAGGGACACTGGTGGGTCTCAGGGAGGATAAGGCAGCAGGGTGGGCCAGGCTCTGTGATAAGCTATGGGAACCTCTTAAAACCTCAGTTTCCTTACTCAGTAAAAAGTGGCTTGGAGGAATACAGAAGGGATGCCAGGCAGTCAGTGACTGGGATTTTAATAGAGACAGTGGGTGGAAGCCCTGGCCTTCATCAGGGCTTGCTGAAAATGAAGGGCCAGGGGGATGGAGAAGGAAACCAGAGCTGATATGCCTAAGTGTGCGCCCTTTAATTGGTGCAAAAGTCCCTCCCTTATGGGCAGGGGGTGGGTTTTTTTTTTTGGGGGGGGGAGCTCTGTCCCAGTGGAGGGCTTTGTCCTGAGGCCTGGTGAGGGGCGACACTCGGGTATTCCTGGACCTGGAGGGGTGACGCGGGGGTGTGGGTGGAGGTGGGGTCCCCTCTGGGTACTAGGGAGCTCCTCAGTTCTGCAGCGCAGCCCGGCCCTGGCTGCTCGGGCCTTCCTGGACGCCGTGCGGCTCTACCGGCAGCACCAAGGCCACTTTGGCTACGACGACGTGACCCTGGGCTCAGACGCCGAGGTCAGTCCAGCTCCTGCGCTCCCGCACGCGCCCCACCAGGCTCCATCGCTGGTTCAGCTTCCAGGAGGGTTCATTCTCCCGCAGGTGCTGACCGAGTTGCTGATGAGGGAGCTGCTGCCCTCTCTGCGCGCCCAGACCCTGTCCGGCCTGCGGGGGACCGGCCGCGCCCGCGCTTGGGCCTGGACTGAGGTCAGGAGGGGTGGCGGACACTCGGAGTCTGAGCTGTCGGCACTTGCTCCCTGTCCCTCTCCATCTCTGTTCCACTGCCGCGTATGAGGATCCCTGTCCTGCAGCTCCTGGATGCCATCCATGCTGCCATCCTGGCCGGGATCTCCGCCGAACTTCGTGCTTTCCAACCCGAAAAGGACGAGCTCCTGGCCACCCTGGAAAGGACCATTCGTCCAGAGGTGGACCAGACCCTGCGGCTGAGAGCTAGAGTGGCAGGAAGGCTGCGGGGTGAGGCTGGAACCAGCAAGGGAGGGAGGGAAGGGGCGAGAGAACAAGAAGGGGAGGAGCCGGGATCCTGGGCGGAGCCACAAAGGGGCGTGTCTCTGGAGACTAAGGAGGCGGGGCTTTCTGTACTTAACCAGGGTCAGAGGCGGGCGGGGCTTATGGAGAAAGGGGCGGGGTCAGGGGAAAGGAGGGGCAGAATCTTGCTCTGCACTTGAGAGGAAGGAAGAGAATGGGAGCAAAGAAAGGGCGGGACTGGAGGGTGAGGTTTAAATTGGGGAGGAGGCGTGGCTAGGGGCGGAGTTAGAGTTCGAAGGCAAAGGTGTAGGAAGCAGCAGGTGGGTTGGAGGAGAGGGGACATGAGAAGGGGTGGAGGGAGCCTGGGGCACTGATCAGTCCAGGCCTGGACTGTCAGGCTGAGATCTCAAGTCCTGCGTCTGCATTTGTGAAATGGAGTCGAGGCAGGGCTCAGAGTCTGTCCACATTGGCTTGCTGCATCCCGGAGGCCTCTTCCTCTCCGTTTGCCGGGACCCTTCAAGGAGGGAACCCCAGGCTTGTGTCTTCAATCCCTAGCTGATGTCCAGGGACCCCTGGAATCGTGCCTGAGACGCGAAGTGGGAGCACAGCTGACCCGGGTCACGCAGATACTGCTGAGCACCATGGGGGCTGCACTGACGGCGGTGCGGACCCTCCTTGTGCAGGGAATGGACCGCTTGTTTCGACACCTGCGTGGGAGCCCCTCTGGCGCGCGGCTGCGCAGAGAGGTGAGCTCTGGCTACCCGGGTAGTGAGTTACAGTGACAGAGAAACTGCGGGGAAATGCCCATCTTTTCTGTTTAAAAACTTCTGACATTTATTCTGGGCTGCTTTTTACTTACGGAGGACCTTGGTCCATTCCCCCTATCCATGGTTATTATGATCATTGGGCACCATTGAAATAATGGAAAGAAGAGAAGCATTCTAGCAAAACTGCTCCGGAGTCATCTTCCCCTCAAACTCCTATTCTCAGTCTCCAGCTTCAGCAAATGGGGGCCAAACACGAAGTCAGAAACTTCTGCCCAATGCAAGTCAACAAAGTTCATCTGATAGGAAATCAGCACCTACTAGGTGCCAGGCAATCTTCAACCTCAATTGTTAGACATCCACTTAGAAATCACCTTCTCTGAGAATTTTCACTAGACCCCTGTTCTCCCCTGCTGGTGCTTCCTGCAGCACAGCACCCTTCCCGAGCTTTGATGGTTGTCTGTCCTCGTGTTCTCCTTCAAATTAACCCTGAGCTCTTGATGGACAAAAAGTGGACAGAATTCTTCCATTTTTGTAACCCAAGACACGCTGCATGGAGCAGGCATCAGGCCATTATCTATTTCCCAGAGGCCCAGATGTGTCTACTTACAATCAATCATACCAGCACTGTTACTTATAATTTTTTCCATTCTTACTCTTTTTTAAACATAAAGTTTGTCCTTTCTCTTTTTTTAAAAAACTGTGGGGAAAACATACACCCCAAAACATTTGCCAACACAACTTCCACATCTACAATGTTGGTGATATTATGTTTCATGCTGTGCCACCACCATCACTACCCTTATGCAAAACATTCTACCACCATTCACATAGAAAAGCTCCCCTTTCTGCTTCCCTGCCCATCCTGGCAACCATGAATCGTCATAGATTTCTCTGTATTTGCTTATTTCATATTGGTGAGATCATATAATATTTACCCTTTTTTGAATCACTTTTCTCATTCAGCATGATCTTTACAAGTCGCATCACCATCATAACGGGCACCATGATGTCATTTCAGGTATTTTTTCTGTACGTGGAGATTGTGTTTTATATAGTCATTCATATGATGTTGTTGTTGTTGTTAGGTGCTGTCAAGTCGTAGATGACTCATAGCGACCCTATGAATGAAAGGCCTGAGCACTGTTCATACATAGAGTTTCCAGAGGCAAGCCATTTCGGAAGTGCATGCCACTCCTGCTTCCAGGCTTGTTTAAGTCAGGAAGTTCCAGCAAACACTGTCCACCATGGGTGCCCATTACCACATTTGGCGCATCAGTGACACAGTGTTCAGCATCACAGAGTCATTCATATACATTATATATAATTAATTACTCGATCTGTACTTATCATCACCCTGTCTTTTCAAGTGCCCATTGATCCTTTCCCATCCCTTCACTCCCCTCCACAATCCAACCTCTGCTACTCCAATGATTTCCCTTCTTTCCCTTTTTCTGCTCCCCCATCCCCTCCCCCTTTTGGACATTTATACTTATCATCCTATTTTCCCAACAGTGATCTTATGCAGTATTTATCCTTATGTCACTGAGTGATTTCACTCAGAATGATGCTTTCTAAACTCTCTCATGTTATATTGTTGTTTGTTGTTGTTGTTATGTGCCGTCGAGTCGCCTGCGACTCATAGCGACCCTATGTACAACAGCCCTAAACTCCGCTCTGTCCTGTGCCAATCGCACTGACTCCAACACTCCCATCCCAATTATCCCAGTCACTG